CAGTAAGAGCATGATAACAAGTAAAGCATTCGAGGAAACGTTCGTCCGTCGAGCCATAAGCAATATACTCTGAGCAGCTAATCGGATGCTACGGATCTAGCTTCAGTATCTACACACATAGACAGTGAGGTCCCTCTTGGCCAATCGGAGGCCAGGACGATGCTCGGTAAGCCAATGGCAGAGCAGCTATGAGTATGGTGAGTCCAGGAAACTCGCAGCTGTGACCGAAATAAACATCGTTCACTATGTAAACCAGTGTGGTGGTTGCTGTTGCCTTTTTTCGAACGAAGCAGTAGAGGTCGCTGTTGGATAAGACTTCGTTGTAGTGAATGTCTTCGCGAGGCTGGAGCAGAGAAAATGATTTCGTATAACGCAACAGGGGGGCTTTCGTCGTATGGGGGGCAGGAGAATGGGAATTGTGTTAATGCATGAAGATTTTTTCACATAAGGGGGTATTTTCGCCCATGTAGGTTTCGTTCTAGAGGAGTTTCACTGTACGACAACAACGACTACTCATAATACTGCTACTAATTACTACTAAGAACTACTAAAATGAGTACTACCACTAAGTATTAGGTATCATTGCTACTGCTACTAAATACTACAACTACTACTGAGTACTGCTACCAAGTACTACTACTAATTACCAGTGATGTGTTCCTCGAGCCGGTCCTTGGCCTCGAGGACCGGCTCGAGGACCGAAGGTCGGTCCTTGGTCCTTGGCCTTGGCCTCGGGAGTCGAGTCCTTGGCCTTGGCCTTGGGAGTCAAGTCCTTGGCCTTGGCCTTGGCCTTGGCCTCGGGTTGCCGGTCCTCGGACACAATGAGGGATTAGAGCCTCGAATCCCTTGTCCACAGGTATAAAGTGGGTCCGAGGACCGCAAAAATCACGAAGGAATCAAATAAATTCCATCCAGGGAAACCCATATTGATGGATTAAGCTGGCGCTTTAAAAGGGGCGGGTCTGCCACTGACAGGTGACAGTTAGCGCAACGTATAAAGAGCGGCATCACCGTTAGTTTCAATTATGGTT